TTTGATACCTTTTATTATGTAACAGTCATATAAACTACTATTATACTTTTAAATCATAAGTTTATCATTAATTGTCCACAGATTTCTACATGACGACGCGTAAGATGCCTGATGAACCCCAGTTCGAGCGCCCCATAGGCAATCATACCTTCCACATCGGCAGAGAAGCTGTTCTGGGTTGCTCTATCATCAACTTGGGGAAACATAAGGTAACTTTGTACTTGTCTAATAATGTTCTAAGTATTGGTTTGCCCAAGAAGTCTGCGGTATCAATGCGGAAATATAAATATCAAACTTTAAACAGTTATGTATTGTCTACAATGATCTATATTCTTTGCCATCCTTCAGGTAATTTTAAAATTAACCTTTCAGAAAAATTCCTATCTTTACTTTTAAAATACAGGTCTTCTTCTTATCGATTGATGCCATACATTATAATGTTTGTCATCGCGGTGAAACGAATTGCCAATCGACGTAAAGTGCTCGCCGATTATTGTTCAAGTTACGTCAGATATACTGTAAAGGAATGATGCGTCATATACACAACAACAGCTCTAAATATCGTTTGATGGTCTCTTCGTTATCAAAGTCGTGACCGTTAAAAAAATTGTATAGACCGAAATAAGTAAAAATTTGAATGGGCTACAAACAAATATACGTATTTTAGATCCGAAAAAAGAAGGTTATGGTACCTGTAAAGGACCCGAAAGATTTAGATACGAAAAAATTTTTTTTATAAAGATATTACGTAACGGAACGAACAAGTTATGCGCCAGTACCACTCAGACCTTTTTTCGAATTGCAAATGTCTGAAGGGCACTGCAACTACGCTCGTCACCCAGAGACATAAATTGACAAGTCCCATATGCCTGTAATTTCACCTGCCTTCCCTTAAGACCGGAACGCATCACATTGCCGCTTAGTGGCAGAAATAGATAAGGTGGTAGTACTTCCCCGGACGAACTCATTCAAAGGACCCTTACTGCTATAAAATGTTTCAGTGACAACAGAGTTGCGGATATACTATACCCAATAATGGATGAATTCAGGTAATACACATGATTGTTACGGGTCCTTTACAGGTTTCACGGCCACGGGTAATAATCAGAATGTCTTCGTAAAAATTTCATTATTTTTGTTTCGAATCCTAGAACTCGATAGATAGTAATAATAGCCTATACAGGGTGTAACAGCAAGGTGTAGTCATATTTGAAGGTCGGATTCAGTTAATGGTATGAAACTATTTAGCAAAGTTGTTTTAGTACAAACTACGTTATTTATGGAAATTTCGCCATGAACAGTTTCGATCAGCTGATGTCATTTAACGAAAATAAATAGTCACATCACATCTCTATTGAGTATCATAATACAACCAAATTACGTAACTTGAAAAAATTGTGAAATTCAGGCATGTTATTGTAAATGATAAAGTACTTAATGCCATATTCTTATTACTATGTTATAATTTACTAAATTTATTATTATTTTATTCATGTAATATGCGTGTGAACATTTAATGAAAAATAAATATTATCGATTACTTTGCCAAAATACACTAGTTCATAATAAAACTATTATTTAAAACTTAGTACATAATAACGTAATATGGTTTCGTTAACTTCATATCTTCAAACATACAAAATACACAAATTTCCATTTAATATCCATTAATAAAACTAATGTCCTCTAAAAAACACATATTTAAAGTTATCTCTGTTTCTTTTTACCATACGCATTCATCTATTGTATTTTAATGAATGAAATTTGTCTCTTTCCATCCGTCGGTACTGTTCTAACGCATTATAGCGAATCAGTCGGTAGGTTTCTTCTAACGCATGACGCAATATGACGCAATTATCCGACTATACTTCGCACCCTTACAATGAAAGCGACCCAAATCAAAAAATTAAAAAATGAGTTTATACCGTAAAACCATCTTAAAAAAATATTTTGTTACATTAGTCACACTGCTGTGGTGAAGATGAAATTGTGCAATTAAAGCTCGAATAGCACTGATTCATAAAGGTCCCTTTCATTTTGTTCTTTCAGTTTAAAAATTCTACTCCCGCGTCGAAATATTAACGCCGCATTTATTGTTGAATCTGCATTTGCAAAGACAACACGCTGCCACTGACGGATTAGCATTTGAGCCATTTTCGTTCCGAAAATCATATTCAAAAATCACTAGTAGCAGTAGAGCTCCTTGTGAGTTCGTCCAGGGTAGTACTGCCACATTACCGTGTTACAGTTTTGAAGGGTAAGGGTGCTGGTGAAATTACAGGCACATGGGACTTGTCAACTATGTCTCAGAGAGATGGACGCCGTAGCAGTAGCCTTCGAGCGGCAGTGCTACTGTTATGGACAGGCGTGACGCTTTCCACCGGGTACACGACTTGTTCGACCCGTCGCTTAATATTTAAAAAAAAAAAATTTTTTTAGTAACTTACTTTTTAAAGGGACTTACTATTTTGTTTCGTGGACTTTCTTCTTTTTTAATTGTGAAACAGGGACCACAAAACAATATCAAGGGTTATGACATCTTGCTTAGCTGATGAACATTAAAAAGACTTAATTCTTAATACGTTAAATGATAACAAAAAATCGTTAAAAAAAAGACCTATTGGCGACTAGTTTTTGTAAATTATGTTTTTAAATTGTTGAACATTAAAATGATCAGAAACAATTTTCAGTTGTAAAGTTCCATTTTTCCTCATTATTTTCAAAGACTAATAAGGCCATCACCTTTAGTACTTCAAGAGTAGGTAATAAATAAAATAATATGAAAATATGAAAAAACTTGAAATCTTATTTTCTTTTTTATTCCCAAAAAGTTGAAATTTTGTATTGGGACAGTTTCATCGAAAAGGTGCAACCTGAAGGTCGGTAAACGTCAAGAAATTAGTTTTGATCGTTGACCACGAATTAATTATTGTAATTTTAATTTAATTTAATTTTTTTTTATGATTGATTTAGTGTCTGTTTAAGTATATCTAAATGTTTTAAAATGAATGTTGAGCACAGTAATAATTGGGCACAGATATGCCTGTTGTATTAATTTTTAAGTGTTTTTATTTTCCTCACTTTCTGTATCTGATGTCTGTACATTGTGCCATAAATAAAAAATAAAAAATAAAAATAAAATAAATTTTCATCACTTGCTTGGAAATGAAAATATCGTGAGAAAACTTGATTTCGGAGATAATTGCCGAAATCTTCAAAGATGCGAGAATGTCAAGTTTCCAACCAGTACTTACTATGCAAGTGCAGTGGACTAAACCTTGTGCAAAAAATAGTACTTTACTAACTTACATACGTCTATTGCTGAGCGCACGTTTCTAACAACAGGCTTACGCTTAATTTGACTTATCTACACACGACAACTTTCTGGGTATGGGTTTATTACATGGTGAAATTGAAATAATTAATATCCGTTGAACCTATTAAGGTTCTTACTTCCTAATAATATCTACTCATCTAAAGAAATATTTTAGAATAGTTTAAATTAGCAATAGTGTAAAACCATAAAAAATCTTACCTAAATAAACAAAGTATCAAGATTAGTCGCCTTGCGTACGCGATACGTAATCGTAGCGAAGTCGCAAGCCTTTGGCGGCAACTTTGGCGGCAAAAATATCACCTTTGATTTTCGCCGCCAGCATTTGATTTTATACATGGTGATGTGGATTAGTGGTTAATGTTAGACTCGTTTCGGAGGTCGTGGATTCGATTCTCATAGTTGACTGGCTCTATGGGGTAGTTGTTAGAGTGTTAGGTTTTCTTTGCGGATGTCGTAGATTTGATTCCCATAGTCGACTGCCTCCATAGTCTAGTGGTTAGAGCGTTAGGCTTTCTTTTCGGAAGTCGTGGATTTGATTCCCATAGTCGACTGCCTCTATGGTGTAGTGGTTAGAGTGTTAGGCTTTCGTTTCGGCGGTTGTGGATTTGATTCCCATAGTCGACTGCCTCCATGGTGTAGTGGTTAGTGTTAGGCTTTGTTTTCGGAGGTCGTGGATTTGATTCCTATAGTCGACTGCCTCCATGGTGTAGTGGTTAGAGTGTTAGGCTTTCGTTTCGGAGGTCGTGGATTTGATTCCTATAGTCGACTGCCTCCATGGTGTAGTGTGTTAGGCTTTCGTTTCGGACGTCGTGAGTTTCCGATGGGTGACTGCCTCCTTAGTGCAGTATATCCGTAATCACTCAGTCAGTTCTTGCATTATGTGGAAGTGGTACGGGTGATGGTCAGAGCTTGTTTACAAACAAAGGCGTATGCAGTGCAACGTTGAAGGTCGTAGACGTAGGATATAGGTATTCGTTTAATGTGTATGTAATGATGTAATTTGTATCAGGAGAAGGGTCTTATTTCAAAAGGATGGTAATAATTTTAATTTCATCCTGTAGGTACATTATGAAAACGTTACCCTATATTCCAAAATTTGCGTTTCAGTCGGCGTCCTTTGATGTGCCGCCGCTGAGGCAGAGGTGCTATTTTTTAATTTTTTGTAACAGTCTGTAATTGCCGTTTGCGTTGTGAGGACTAAATAGGTGTCATCGTTTTGTTTGTGTCTTGTTTTTGTGTTTATTTAAACTATGTCACGCTTAAGCAGTAGTGATTACTAAGAGATGATGTTGTGCGTAGGCGCAGCCGATGGGAGCTTGCGCCAGCCTCGCCAAATTTATTGGGCAAAGTTTATTGATGGCGTCCCAGAAAATCGACGTCGACCATTTCCTGCTGTGGAATGCTTCAGGAAGATGGTTATGAGACTTCATAATAGTGGATCGTTCCGTGGTTCCAGTTCTGAAGGCCGGCCGAGTTCACGAGACCCAGAATTCGAGGCAGATGTTTTGGAACATTTTCTCGGCAATCCAAAGACAAGTACTCGTCGTGCTGCGGCAGCCTTTGGTGGTGTGAACCATATGAGTGTGTGGCGTGTGCTACGGGATGATGGCCAGCACCCATACCATTTTCAAAGAACGCAGGAGCTGTTACAAGCGGACTATGATCTACGTTTGGCATTTTGCCGCTGGTACCGCGACCAGGTTGGGAGGTCTCCCGACTTCGCTTCGTCGGTACTGTGGACAGACGAGGCGTCATTTACGCGTGCGGGCATTATCAATATGCATAATGAACATTTTTGGACTCATTTGAATCCCCGCGTATCAAGGGAATCAAATTTTCAACACCAGAGGCGGATTAACGTGTGGGCTGGTATAATAGGTTGTGCCGTCATCGGTCCAGTGTTTTTGCC